CTCAGTAAACAAGTGCTCCTGGCATTCTTATGAGACTATTTTCTGTTAAATTTACTGTGATTGCCTTGGGGATGTGATGCAGGCCAGAGATCTCAGAATTACTACCTGCCAAGAATGCAATGGAAAAGGTGTGTCACCTCCAAAACATCTAATGAAAACTATGGGCTCAACTAGAGAAATATAAATACATTCACTTCATTGTGTTAAAAAAAAAAAAAAAAGTGTTACCCAGAAGAACACCTACTCAAAAGTACTGCATACTCTGCCCCAACTTGACTAGAAGCTCACTGAGAGAAGGGGCTAGATTCTTAGTCTTATTTTGGTAATCTCTAATGCATCCATCAGAGTACCATGAACTAGAATAAAGCCATTTCCCTCTCGTGGGAGGAAACACAAAGGATTTTTCTGGACTGTGGGACACTGTTCAATCTTTGGGACCTCACCTCCACTTAAATCCCCCTGAAGAAATGGAATTCCAATCAAGAACTCTGTGCCTAAAGCTGGTCACCCACCATCTAGGAGAAAATGATTTAAATTGCACTTCTGATGTCCAGAATAGGCCAACCTACAGAGACGGAAACTACATTAGTTGTTGACTAGGGATTCGGAAGGTGACTTGGGGAAAAATGGAGAGTGACTGCTAATGGGGATGGGCTTCATTTGAGGGTGGTAAGGATATTTTAAGATTGTGGTAATGGTTGTGCAACGCTGTGAATGTACTAAAAACCACTGAATTGGGTGCTTTAAATGGATGAACTGTATGTTACGGTGGATTACATCTCAATGAAGTTGATACTTTAAAATTTGCATTTCTGCCTCACCTTAGACTATGAGAATATGGAAACCTCACTCTGTCCGAGAGCAGACGTCAGATTTGAAGGGGCATATCCCCAGCAAAAAGTTCATAAACCAACTGTCAACATGGAAAGAAACACAGTTCCTAAAAACCCTCACCATCCCTCAAAACTAACAGCCTGACTCACTTTCATGTCTATGAAACCATATTTGTTTTGCCATTGACTCCATGAGACAGCCAGGTATGAAGTCCAAGGCATTCTGCAAGCTTTTCCTACCAGGCAGAGAGGGGTAGCCAGCCCAGCCACTGAGGCAGGGAGGTAATCTGACAAGAAGATTGAAAATTTAGCTGCCAGAATGTTATTAGGAACAGCAAAGATGTTAGAAGACTTGCTCTTTTTTTTTTCTTTTTAACTTGTGGTGCTTTTTTTTTTTGGCATAACCATGACTTTATACAAACATTACCAGGATTCTTCCCACCAACAGCTAATACACACACAACCGTGTAAATTACCAACAACAGGCATGAAGGAAGCAGGGACCTAACTCCTTACACCCAAACCAAAAATACCCTTCTGCTCTTGTGACTTTTGCTCCAAGTCCTGACAGCCCTGAATGCTGGAACATGATAACTACCATTCATTGAGCAGTGCTATACACCAGGCTCAAGCTATTAATGCATTTTCTTTATACACCATTTCATTTAGATCTCACAACCAACCACCCTAGGAGGTGAGTGTAGCTATTCCCGTAACATAGGAGGAGTTCAGGCTCAGTGACTTGCCCAGAGTCACCCAGTGTTAACTAGGCAAGATTCAAACCCAGGAAATCCTAAATTCTTAATTCTATAAGTCAAATTCATCTCAAGCCTCTACTGTCTCTACAAAAAGAAAGAGAGAGAGAGAGAGAGAGAATCCTCTTCACTGAGACACGAATTAATCAGGTCAAGGAAAGGATCCTAAGCAAATAAGTGCCCACAGAAAAGGCACTTATTCAGCACAGAAAAAGTGAGGTAGGAGTCTCAAAGGCATTACCTGCACATCAAATGAGAACTATCTCCAAGATCAGGATTTTTTAAATGTAGGTCCCAAATTATTTTATTGCTTATCTCCTATGTGTCCAGAACAGAAGTTTGGACTCTAGGAAAAGTTTCGAGGGGTTCATTTTTATGGAGTCCATGGTGTTTATTAGATTTTCAAGGGGACTCAAGAGACAGCTAACCTAGAAGACGGTTTTGCTTCAAGATTAAGTGCACAGGTTTTGGAATCAGACAACTTGGGTTTAAATATACTTAATTGCTGTGTTGCCTTGGGCAGGTTACTGACCTCTCTGATCTTCAGTTTCCTCACTCATAAAGTAGAAGTAGCAATAACAATGATCTAGCTGAACTTTTGCAACCCCTGGAGGCCACTTATCGCCTCATATTAACACACAAATAAAACCTAAACCCAAAGATCTATAAATACTAATTATAAAATAAAGCCATAAAATTTTAGAGCTGGAAGAGACTGTAAATCATCTAAACCACTGTTACTTTTATTTTTAAAAACACTGGCTTTGCCCTGGCTGGTTTGGCTCAGTGGTTAGAGTGTCAGCCTGCCGACCAAAGGGTTTGGCTCAGTGGTTAGAGTGTCAGCCTGCCGACCAAAGGGTTGCGCGTTTGACTCCCAGTCAAGGGCGTGTACCTCGGTTGCAGGCTCAATCCCAGGCCCCAGTCAGGGTGGGTGCAGGAGGCGACCAATCGATGAGTCTCTCTCACATAGATGCTTCTCTCTCTCTTTCTCCCTCTCCCTCCCTCCCACACGCTCTAAAAATCAATGGAAAAATATCCTCAGTTGAAGACTAAAAAATAAATAAATGAAATAAAAACACTGGTTTTACATTTACAGTGGTGATAAGTATCATCCAAAGAAAAACAATACACAAATACTAATGTAGTAGTAGTATAGGATGTAATGATAACAGAATGCCTGAAGTCTGGGAAACGGTGACCTACAGATTTCAACCTCTTTAAGAGGCCACACGACCTGTCCAAGTAGTAGTTAGTAGTAGCAGAAGTGTACAGTTAGTAGTAGAGCCAAATAGACAGATATTAGAACACCTAGTTTCGCCTAAGTCTTTTCCCCAAGTTACAGGGCTGGTCAATTCCATTAGACACTTCAGTAACTAAAGCCCTATCAGTGTATTGTTTCCGAAGGATTTTTATATCCCCCCACCTAAATTGCAGTCCCACGCATGCACCCTCATCAGATTCAAGCCTGAGATACAAAACGCAAGTGTAAACTGCAGAAGACTTCGTCCACAGGGTCCACTCTGGGCAGGATGGGGCAGGATTAAGACCTCTGCAATCAGCAAGAACTCCAGCTCCAGCTCAGACCAAGTGGGGGTTCAAAACTAAGCCCTGCTGCTAGCGTGGCTCTGGGCTAGTGATTCCCCCGAGCCTGTTTTCACATTTGTAAAAAGAGTAACAGCAGGAGATAATTCAAGTGAAGCAGTGCCTGGCAAGGACTGAGTCCCTGTAGCCCCAGGGGCAGAATATTCACTGCCACATCCTCCATACCCAGGGCAGTAACCAGCAGCAGTAACCAGCACACAGTAGGCACAGCACTGAAATGTTCACTGAATAAAGCTGAGGCCCAATTAAAGCAGGCCTGAGATTCAATCAAAATTCGTGGGCCCAACCTATAAATGGGCTCCTAACTTACTCCAAATCAGGGGTCAAGTATTCCCTGAACCCAGGATGGCCCTGATCACCCACAAAGGAAGAATCTGTTTACATGCTTCAGGTCACAGTCTCCAGCCTCAGGGAAGCCTCATCTTGCATCACAGTTCCATGTTTATTTCACTCCAAAAGATTGGCACCTGCTGCCCTAGGGTTCCATTGTCTCTCTCTTCATTTTCAGAAACATCAAGCTCACAAAATGACATCTCAGGCACTTCCTTCTGTAAGTCTCCTTTAAAGAGGCCTGGGGAAAATTCTCGAAGCTAGGTCCTTAATCTGCCAACTCAACCTTTCTTAGCTGAAAGGTATCACCTGCTAAGAAATCCATCACAGGGACAGGAAAAGTGAAGTCAAAGACAATTCCACCCTCCGCCTTCGCATTATTCCTGATTCTCAAAACTAAAAGATGGACTGAACTATTTGTAAACGGGTGGGCTGAAAAGGCACCAAAAGGGCTTTCACAATCCGAGGTGCTCATCCCCAGGCCATTCTTATTGGGCCGGAAGAAGAAACTCTCTGGCTCTGCAAAAATTCAAGGGAAAATCATACACAGAATGCAAATTTAATTTCTCCCCTACCAAAAGGAAACAAGCAAAAATGGTTTTACAAGAGGTTCCAGAATCTTGAGGCATGAGTTTAAACTTCTCTTTTCTGATCGAGGACCGAGGACATTCCTGGTCAGACCTTTGAGTTTTCAAGGATAGCGGGAGAGGTAAAAAGGAGAGCAAGGGAGCGGGAGCGGGAGTCAGGATATGTTCGTTCTATTTTTAAACCCTCGCCTACGGTTTAGAGTAAAGGAACACTGGGATTCTGTAGCCCCACCCCTAGCACCTTCTGCTAAACACATGAATCAGGACCTCCACACGTTCATGGTTCTGAGTCTAGATTTGGGGGTTACTGGCGGCCAATACGCCAAAGAATCCTGGGCTAAGCAACATTTCCACCCAGCCCTTCTCGGGCGCCTTTCGGAAAACCCGGCGGCCCTGCGCAGACTGAAGCTGCGTGCAGGGAGCGAAGCAGCCACAAGCTGCCTTCTCCTGAGGGGACGCAGCGCCCCCTTGAAGAGCAGGCTCCATTCCCACGGCTGGGCACCCAGGGGTGAGCAACTCCTCCCCGAGGGAGCCGGAGTCACGGACGCGATGGGGTTTCCAACAGGCTGCGGCGCTTCAGGCACCACGGTCCCATTTCCTGGACACCTGTGTGCCGCGCACATCCACCCGTGCCCAGGGCACCACTCGCGCTCGGTCACCTCCCGGCCATTCCAGAACGCCAAGGGCGGGGCGACAGGTCTCTTTCCTCTTGGGATTGTTGCCGGCTCGCCCATTTTACGTATCCTTCCCGCCTCATTTACAAGGATCTACGCCCGTCCCTCAGCGCCCCAGGGCAAGAAAACCAGCCGGGCGCACGGACTCCCAGGGCGGAGCGCGCCCGACGGCCCCTCCCGCCCCGGGGCTCGGTCTCCGAAGGGCTCGCGGACACTCACTCTTGAGCGCACTGATGAGGGACTTCCCGTCCTTGATGAGCTCCTTGATGAATTTGTTGGTCTTGTCCAGCTCCGCTTCGTGAGACTTGAGCGTCTCTCGGAAGTGCGGGCTGTCCAGGCAGCAGTCACTGAATTCCAGCGCCGGGAGCCCCATGGTG